ACTATGACGTTTTCATGCCTTACAATGCTATGACGTTTTTTGACGTTTTATGCTTTACTCTACTACGACAATTTAATGCCTTACTATACTATGATGTTTTTTGACGTTTTTATGCCTTACTATACTATGACGTTTTCATGCCTTACAATGCTATGACGTTTTTTGACGTTTTATGCTTTACTCTACTACGACAATTTAATGCCTTACTATACTATGATGTTTTTTGACGTTTTTATGCCTTACTATACTATGACGTTTTCATGCCTTACAATGCTATGACGTTTTTTGACGTTTTATGCTTTACTCTACTACGACAATTTAATGCCTTACTATACTATGATGTTTTTTGACGTTTTTATGCCTTACTATACTATGACGTTTTCATGCCTTACAATGCTATGACGTTTTTTGACGTTTTATGCTTTACTCTACTACGACAATTTAATGCCTTACTATACTATGATGTTTTTTGACGTTTTTATGCCTTACTATACTATGACGTTTTCATGCCTTACAATGCTATGACGTTTTTTGACGTTTTATGCTTTACTCTACTACGACAATTTAATGCCTTACTATACTATGATGTTTTTTGACGTTTTTATGCCTTACTATACTATGACGTTTTCATGCCTTACAATGCTATGACGTTTTTTGACGTTTTATGCTTTACTCTACTACGACAATTTAATGCCTTACTATACTATGATGTTTTTTGACGTTTTTATGCCTTACTATACTATGACGTTTTCATGCCTTACAATGCTATGACGTTTTTTGACGTTTTATGCTTTACTCTACTACGACAATTTAATGCCTTACTATACTATGATGTTTTTTGACGTTTTTATGCCTTACTATACTATGACGTTTTCATGCCTTACAATGCTATGACGTTTTTTGACGTTTTATGCTTTACTCTACTACGACAATTTAATGCCTTACTATACTATGATGTTTTTTGACGTTTTTATGCCTTACTATACTATGACGTTTTCATGCCTTACAATGCTATGACGTTTTTTGACGTTTTATGCCTTACTATACTATGACATTTTTTGACGTTTTTATGCCTTACTATACTATGACGTTTTAACGTCTTACTATACTATGACATTTTTTGACGTTTTCATGCCTTATAATACCATGACGTTTTCATGCCTTACAATGCTATGACGTTTTTTGACGTTTTATGCTTTACTATACTACGACAATTTAATGCCTTACTATACTATGATGTTTTTTGACGTTTTTATGCCTTACTATACTATGACGTTTTTTGACATTTTAAGCCTCACTATACTATGACGTTTTTATGCCTTACTATACTATGACATTTTTTGACGTTTTAATGCCTAACTGTACTATTACATTTTTTGACGTTTTATGCCTTACTATACTATGACATTTTTTCACGTTTTTATGCCTTACTATACTACGACTTTTTTTAGCCATACTATAATATGATGTTTCTATGCCTTACTATTAAGTTTTTTCACTTTTTTATGCCTTAGTGTACTATGACATTCTTTGATGTTCTTATGCCTTACTATACTATGACATTTTTTGATGTTTTTATGCCTTATAATACCATGACTTTTTTGATGTTTTTTTGCCTTACTATACAATGACGTTTTTTGACGTTTTATGCCTTACTATACTATGACATTTTTTGACGTTTTAATGCCTTACAATACCATGATGTTTTTATGCCTCACTATACTATGACATTTTTTGACGTTTTATGCCTTACTATACTATAACGTTTTTTGACATTTTTATGCCTTACAATACCATGATGTTTTTATGCCTCACTATACTATGACATTTTTTGATGTTCTTATGCCTTAATATACTATGACATTTTTTGATGTTTTTATGCCTTACTATACTATGACGATTTTTGTTACGTTTTTATGCCTTACTATACTATGACATTTTTTGATGTTTTCATGCCTTATAATACCATGACGTTTTTTGCCTTACAATGCTATGACGTTTTTTGATGTTTTTTATGCCTTACTATACTATGACAATTTTTGACGTTTTAATGCCTAACTATACTATAACATTTTTTGACGTTTTTAGGCCTTACAATACCGTGACATTTTTTGCCTTTCTATACTGTGACATTTTTTCACGTTTTTATGCCTTACTATGCTATGACGTTTTTATGCCTTACTATACTATGACGTTTTTTGACGTCTTTATGCCTTACTATACTATGACTTTTTTTAGCCATACTATAATATGATGTTTTTATGCCTTACTATTAATTTTTTTCACTTTTTTATGCCTTAGCGTACTATGACATTTTTTGATGTTCGATTTGATGTTTGATTTTTATGATATAGTATACTATGATGTTTTTATGACGTTTTTATGACTTACCATAGTATGACCTTTTTTCTACATACTATCCTATGACCTTTTTACGACATACTACACACTATGACATTTTTATGCCTTACTATACTATGACTTATGATATATACATCACATGTTCGTCCCTATATCAAGAGTGATGTTACCATATGTGCCATGTATAAGAGGATATATTAATATGACATATATACATCCTCTGGATATATGAAGACTTAAGTCTATAACATATATGCAATACTCATAGTCCAACTTTGTTAAAACAACATGCTCATTAAAATTCTATATGTTTGTACATGATTTTTTAAATTGTTCTTTATCAAATTTAACCATACACGTTTATCTTTTATATTTACATATATAATGAACATATACTGACAGGCTTTGGGATGGATATATATTTATGTTCATATGTCTATTATATAAACAGACATACTAAAATACATGTTTCTATTAGCTAGACATATATGTCAATATATGATATATTTCCAATTTTAAACAGGTTTCACATGTAATGTTTACATATATAGGCTATACTGTATATACATATATGATTTTATTTTATATGTGCATATTTTTTTATATATGGAAATTCAACACATATACATAGGTTACATTTTTGTATGGGTGTTTCTGAATGTAAATTCAGATATTATATGTTAATAAACCATTTGGTTGACAGCATAAAAAAGTCAGTTTCTTTGTTTCAGAGGGTCATTGTTGCGTCGCTTCCAATGTTGAAACCAAACATACATCCTGGTGTCATAGTGATATCATCAGGTTCACCTCAGCTTGGATTTGAGACTTTTTTCTTTTAACAAAAATGCTATTAAGTTGCATTATGGGAAATGTAAGATTCAAGATTTTGACTCATACAGTGACTAAAAGTCAGAACATCTCGGTTACTTTGATTTTGACTTTTCTTTTTTTAATGAGTCTTTCCTCTAACTTTATTGAAGTGTAAAACTAAATCGTTGGAATATCTCCTCTCTTGGAGAGGGGGAAAACGCTAATTCTTTGTCATGTTGGGGATTGTGGGGGATAGGGGGCCAAATCCACCACTGCTTGAGAAACATTTTAAATTCACTCAGTTTGTCTCATCACTCACAACCAGAATATATCCATAATAAATGTTAAACCTCAAAACCAGAATTACAGGACAGTTTCCCATGAGCATGAGCTCCAAAAAGTACGTCATAAATGTACAGGAAGCTGTTCTGCATGAGTTGTATGAGCTGGTAACATTACACAGGATACATAATACTTAACAACCAGTCAGTACAGGTCATTATTAACCAGCTGCAGCCAAAAGGCACCTGCTCAAGAAGTTATGTTTGAGGCATTTTGACCTCTAACTCGCTGGTTATGCTGCAGCCACATGCCCAGGCCCTCAGAGACTCTCCGTCCTACACAGCCAACCCGCCTGCAGAGCTGGACTGACTCATTTTATAGCTGTGGTCACAGTAAAAATGTGTCACAGTTCTTGTAAGCCCGATGATTTCAGCACTGCATCATCCATCAAGTCCAGCTGGACTCACACTCACCGGTTCAAAAAGTCACTGGAAGGAACTGAACCTTGACTCCTGGTTGACCTCTCCAAACCCAAACCACATCTGACAAATGGAGCTTTATGATGCTCAAATTAAACTACCTGGAACTGCTGGTTAAACTGATAAGAATATTTGTTGAGCCAGTTTCAGTGGGAGTTTTTACTTTTTATTTCAAGGAGTTACTACACTCATTCATGAATGGCAACACATGCATTAGCCAGCATTCCATTTTAAAAGTAAGAAGCTGCAGGGATCATATAATCTGATTGCCATAGAGGTTTCTTATGGCTCAGCATGTACAATCTGGAAAGCAAGAAAAAGTCTGGAGCCTTTTTGTGTGTTCATGAAAAAAAGACCTTGGCAAATCTCAGCACCTAGGCTGACAAAGGGTGTTTTTGGGTGTGGGGGTGCTGTATTTTGTCATACACTGGAAGGGGGTGGGTGGACCAACAGCTGATGCCCAGATGTAGAGATTGTTTCACATTGACAAGGTCTAGATCAAACATTTTTTGAGGTCAGTTTGTTTATAAAAATGCATTTGGTAACTTTAATGTCAGAGGAAATGGTCCTAACCCATGTAATTATTCAAGACTGCAATCTGAGTCTGTTGTTCTCCACTGGGATTATATCCAAACTTCAGAGGGCTGTGGAAACAAAGTCAAAAGCTCTTTTTTTGTTTCTGTGAGATAGTAAAAAAAAAAAAAAAAGTATCTTTGTGCAAAATGGACCCGTGTGCACCCTTTCCATGTGGCCTGTCCTTCTCACCCAGGGGCATGGATGGATGGGGTGAAATAAGGCGATCGGAATGCGGAACCGGTGAGAAATGCAGCTGGTTAAGGAAGCGGCTCTGTTAGCAGACCCACTATCTGACTCCATTATAGGGAGACCAGACCACCAGACTAATCCGTGTTCACACAAAACAAGCACATCAACATTTGCGTACAAAACAAAGTTAGAAATGGAACAAAACAGATCGAGTCACTGCAACAAGTCGGACAAATTCTTAAAAACCGTGATTTTACATTCTGTTTGAAACCTTGTTTGGGGAAAAAAATATATTTTACTTACTTTTCTGTGCGCTCACAGCATGGAAATTAGTCACAGCCGCTATAATAAGTCCGCAGAGCGCGCAGAGAGCGTTTGAAGCCATGATGTCTGCGGGTAAAAAGCTGCTCGCTGTCGGCTACACAATTCCCGAAAGTTCATCTGATTAACAATCCGTGCTGGTTTTCAGCATGGAAAAGCGAGCATCAGAGTGAGTCACCCGGAGGAGTCTGCGCCTTGTTTTAATAGCGCACACACCCACGCTAACAGTTCAACTCCTATGAGTCATTTCCTATGTACTGTAGTGCTCGGATTCTCTGTCCGCACTCCCCGACTCACAGGAAACTCCACTACCATAGTATGTGGTTTCATTTGTTTCTGTTCAAGTGAAAGTTTCAATTAAACCACCTCAGGTATCACATTTTCAATACATATATTTCATATTTTACGGCCACACCCTTCAGTTTTTTTCTCCACTATTTTTTTTCTACCAGGGTCTGTGTAGTCTGGACTTAATAGTGTTCTCATTGTTATTACCACGCCTGTCGACGTCATTCCCTCCTCTCTGCCAAAAAACACAAGTCTCTGGCATGAGTCTGGGTCCCATACACAGAAAAAGAGGAACAGCAACTGAGGCAAGAACAGATGACACTCACTAGGAAAAACTATCTGCTTTTTAGGTCTTTCGTTTGTCTCAGTGCTGAAGTTAGATAAGCTTTATCTTTGTCCACATGAATGCCCTCCGCAGACAGAGAAAATAAGACTTGTGATGATCTTACTTTTGGAAACTGACATTTGAATAGTGAGTGTCCCTGACACAGTGTGATGTTATTAATGCCTCGGGCTGGGTGTAGCCTGCTGCTGCTGCACAAATATGCAATAACAAAGCCACTGGACGCCTGCCTGGAGTGCTATCAGGTTGGCCCCTGTCACAGCATTGTCTCATATATTAATGAGGACCATCAGTCACTACAACATCTGTGGCATAGAAAATGATCACTTAACACGAAGTGAAAACGACTAATTTATTTAAGACAGGTTATGCACATTCATATGAGTAAACAACCACTGTCTATGTATTATTAACAATAAAATTATTCTTACTTTTGCCAACATTATATCCAATTCCTGCAGGGACTCTTAGTTAACTGTTCCCAAATGCCTGATAAACTTTTTTTTTCACATATTCACTCTTTCTTTCAGCAGCCTGGAACTTTTTATGTGTGCGCTACATGGTGTGAATTGCCTTTTCCCACAAGAGCTAACGTCAAACAGACGCTAACCAACCTCCCAGTAAATAGTTCACATCATCAGAACAGAGGAAAGGGGTTTTCATTGGCTCAATTAGGTTAGAAGCATGTTGTTAAACAGATGTTTTTGTACTCGACTGTCACGGCTAACCTTCAGGAAAGCGGTCTAAGAGGACCTGGAGCAGCGCAGCTCACTAAGGACACCCATATGAGCTGACTTTCCACTGGAGTGATTTCATCAGTAATGAGGCACTATAAGCTGCAGATGTTGTGTCAAACTCTCCAATAGGAACCATGGCAACAAGATGAACACACACAGAGGACCTTGCCCAAGGTGATCCAAACACTCCTGTATGTGCTGACTGGGTGCCAAACTAGCTGGTGTCTCTAAGGCAATGTTAATACTATAGCCTAACAAAAGAAGTTAGACAAATCTGGCTGTTGTACTTTATATAATAGAAACATATTTAGTTTTACACATGCAATCCTCAAGTCTGTAAAGGATGGTTTGTTTTAATTTTGAAGTTTAAATTTCAGCTTCACTGATTTTACAGGATTTCCAAAACCAGCAGGACAAAACAAGTCAAAGAAAGACTTCAGGAAGATCCACCATGTACCACTGCAGTTCCAAGTTCTTCTATACATTAAAAAAACGCTAAAGAAATATTTAAAAGTGGGCCCAGTTTTTTTAAAAGAGAGAGAATATTTAACTTGGCAACAATGGCAAAGACAGGAAAACAGTGCAGAGCAGCTTAACGTGTAAGAATATCACGGTGTACACATACAATGTTTATTAGCTACAGTACAACTGTCTCAGTCATATGTGTCACTGTTTGGTCACCAAATTAATCACCGACTGGCAATGACGTTGAAAAACAAGTCTTTCCAAAGAGAAATTAAAACGGGGAAACACACTCATCTGACATCCCCACAATGTCTCCCTCTTTGAATAAATCTTCAGTTCCTTTGTCATTTCTCAATTTTTTTTCTCTCCTTTGGTTCTGTCTACTGTTTTCTCTTTTCACTCCTCCGTCTCTATGTGAATTAGGTGATGTAGATGCGGTGAAAGTCATTGGCTCCGAAGGCACAGTTGCACTTGGGGCACTTCCTCTGTCGTGTGTCGTAACGCATCTTCAGACATTCGTAGCAGAATACGTGGAAACACTTGGTGAGCACCGTCTCCTTGTCTCGTGTGTTGCAGCAGGGGCAGCGCAGCTTGGCCTGGTGACAGATAAACATATTGTTTAAGGGCCAAATACCGACCTGCCAGCACTGTTATTACCTCTGCACATTGTATGGTAATACAGCTAATACCTGAGGGTGTAACAAGTGAGAGTCTTGATATCCCCAAAGCACAAAGTGATTTTAATATTTGCAGAGGTTTGAGCTCACTTTCTAGCCCATACTCATGAATGAAAAACAGCCACTGTCAGCTAATCAAACAAATTATAAAGTTATATATTATAAAGTAGTATTTGCATTACGACACATTACTTTTTCATTAGACTGCTGTATTTCTGTATAACAGTTCACTCAAGATTGTGCCAGGAAGCTGTTGGTGTTTTTGTAACTCCTTTGTCACTAACAGAGGTTAATTAAAGTCATAAATTTCTCTGCACATAAACAATGTTCTCTCTCTCTCACCTTGTACTGATTGATCTCCTCCTGCAGGATCTCATCAGCGTCAGAGTAAACCTCCACCTTCTTCTGTTTCTCCAGCTTCCGCCTCAACCTGGACAGATCCTCCTAGAGGGCATGAAGGGAGAAGAGTCATTAGAGCTGCAGCCTATGGTGATCCTCCCACAAGAACTTAAGGAAGTAACCCGTGTTTGGACAGAGTTTGGAGTGATATCCCCATTCCTGAAATACAACATACCTGTGCTCGTTTCAGGTTGCTGCTCTCCCTCTCCCGGGCGGTGCGGTTCTCCGCCACAGAGACCTGGATCTCTTTAAGCTTGGCCTGCGTGTGCTCCAGCTGCACCTTCAGGTCCTCTGCCAGCTGGGCAGCCTCCACCGCCTGCAGCAGGGAAGGAACTGGACACACTCAATAAAAAAACCTAATGATGAGATTCCTGAGCTGTAATGTGCTGGTGGTACAGTAAACTTGACATTCTGAGTCTAATGTTTGTGCTTCAGCTTTAGAGATTCAATTGTATACTAACTTAAACAAAAGCGCTACTGCTTTTGCATTTTTAAAATCATATTTACTGCAGATTGTGTATATTTTCCATCTCTGACGACCATTTTCCACAGCATATGATATGTCTGTTCCACACAGCCCCTGGTTTCAGTTAAAGCAAACGGCCGCTGGTGTGTGTTTTCTGTTATGTTTTAATTTTATTGTTATGGTTGTTCTTACTTGTGAAAAGAAGATTAAATGTGAAAAGAAGAGAATTCAAGCAATATATTCACATAAGAGAGAGGATGATGTCATTAACTTTTCCCCAATAGCACTCCTCTGCACATTCGCAGTCTTATCCAGTACCTGGGCAATTACCTCAAATATGTCAGACATGTAAGCACTTGAATACTTGCAGAACTTGAAAGTGTGGGAATTGAGACAGGTGCTGGGTTTTATTTGCTAAAAATGTAGGCCATTAATGCAATGTATTGTGGCAACAAACCCACAACTCTTGTCAGAATTTTTCACAAGCACCTAAACACACCAAAGTGATGATAAGTACAAATGTGACTTTGGGCCCATGGTATTATCCAGATCCTCTTTTAATGCTACTCAGTGTTTATATTTAGGACCACAGACATCTGGCAGCAATCAAATCATGCCGTGATTAGCAGATCTAAAGTGTGAGACTGACAATATGATAGATGGCATCTCTCTTCTCACCTTCCTCTTGTTGAGTTCTAGTGCTTGTGTCCGGACAGCCAGCTCTTTTTCCAGAGCAGCCAATGTGCTCTGGAGGACACCCTCTTTTTCTTCTAGCTTCTGCACAACCAGCAGCTGGGCGTCCACCTGAGAAAGGCAGCAGCCAGTTAATATTTCAGTTCCCCGACACAATGAAAAATTTCCAGGTTAAAAAGTTACACTTCACCTGGGTTTTGAATGTGAGGACTTGGTCTGCCAGCTCCTCCTTCTCCTCTTTCAGCAGCTTGTAGATCTGGTTCGATTTGATTCGCTCACTCATCAGCTTGAAATTGGCATCATCCTTCTCCCGTAACTGCTGCAACAGCCGGCTGTTCTGCTCCTGCATGTCCTCGAAAGCCTGGCCTGTTACATCCATCTCACTCAGCAGGGCTTCCTCCTCCTCAAGAGATGCATAGGTGTCAGTGATCAAACACAGTGGTATTTGTTGTTGCTTCTAGACTCCAGTTTAAAAACAGATGGGATCTGATTTTGTGTTTGACCATTTGTCGAGGTTCATATAAAGTACTGTACGTGCTGGGGGTATGCATATTCCCCCAATAAAACTATGCTAATCTTCTGTAGTCACAACTGAAAATAACTAAAACCAATCCAATCTACTTCCAAATAAACAATAAAAAATAACAACCATATAAACAAAAAAATATGAGTTTTTGGCTCACAAATGTACCATTATATTTCTCAAAAACAAAAAATCACATGCATGTTATTAGTCTCAATCCAAAATACTGTTCAATCTATGTTGTATCTTTTGGTACGAAGAATCACAGATGTGCGCTGTAATCATATAACCTGACGTAATTAATGGCATTACACCCACACGGGCCTGTTGATGATTATGCATCTTGAGATGCAATCACACCTGGTTTGTTTTCTGTGCCATAAACACAGCTACAAATTTTTATTTTGCTTCATTTTGATTCACGTTGCCCACTTACAAGCCAACTAGGACCTATAAACAAAAGTCACATGAACTCTCAAGTAGCTTGTTTATTGGATAGTTTTGGCAATCAGCCTTCCTACAAAGTTAAATTCAGGCAGCCAGGAACTGAGGGGGACAAATCAACCACATCTAAGTCCAAAAGAGTTGAGTTGCTGTACAACTCTGTAGCTGATAAGAAGGAAAAGTAAAGAGC